CCTCAAAACTCGGTACCCCACAACATCAACGCGACAACCCGACAACCCGACCCAAACCACACCAGGTTCCCCTGACAGCACCTGCTCCGGGGGGGGAAAGGAGGGGGTGGTACAGGATACCGCCGCCGTCGGTGGCCTCGTCGTGGCAACAGCGCCCCGAGCGGTAGAGCGGCGGCTGGTGGGTCCCCTGGCCGTGGAGGGGGAGGCGGAGAGGCTAAGGGTCTTGACGGAGACCTTGGGTCAGCAGACCGCCGCCGGCAACCTCAAGCTCAAGTTCCAACTCCACGTGAGATGACATGAGAGAGGAATTTTTCAAGGCCGCGTTTTTTTTTTTTTTGTGTATGAGATGAGAAGAGATGAAAGGGCATTTTAGCGGACAGCTTGTTTTCATGAGACAGGATCAGATGAGAGAGCACTTTTCACCGTGACATGTCTGTTTTGTGGTGTTTTTTGGAGTGCAAGACTGGTTTTTCATTGGATGGGTCGAATGAGGCTCCATGTGCGTCAAAACGTAGCCGTCGAAGGCTTTCGACTTTGCGCATGGATTGCGTTTGCTGGAGCAATCCCCAACGACCTGCAGCAGGCATGACACCCTGTGTGTACACGGCGCCATTTGTTTTTGGGCCTAGCTTAAAAAAAGGGTTCCTTTCCACTTTGACCGCAGGGACTGTTGTTGTTGTTGTTGTTGTTGTTGTTATTGTTCAAACCTCAGGTTCTCGCGCGATCGTGCTGTACAGATGTCGTTGTATGTGGTGGGATTTATTCTGCTTTCAGCCCATGCAGCAGAGCTCCGCCATTCTTCCGCGACCCTCTCGTGTTTAGAACCCTGGCCTACCGTGTACGACACAAGATAGCACATACCCTGGATCGATTTTCAAAGCTCGATTTCTCAACAGCAGAAATGTCAAAGCGCCGATCACGGCCGCGTTGAAGCCGTTTCGTCGAGATCTTTCCGAAAATGTATCGTCTCACATGTGCATCCTCTTGGTCGTGGCGCAATCGAGCTTTGAAAATCGGTCCAGCGGGTATGTTATCTTCCGTCGAATACGGTACCCTCGCTCTGGACGCGTCCAACAAAGCTCTCAATGATTCTCCAACGCCGGGATAACCCTAACTCTAAACCCAAGACCTTGGTACAACCTTTTCCCTCGCGACGCCCAGGTGGACCACTGGGCCTTCGGCGAGCGGGAGCTCATGTGCCAGTGGCGTGTCTTCACGCGCAACGCCGGCGTCTGCGGCGGCCGGCGGGAGCTGGAGACCCGCGGGATGATGGCCCTGCGTCTGTGGACGAGCGAGGACGGGGAGGCGCCGGTGGTGGAGCCGAAGACAAAGACCTCCACGTGGGCCATCCTAGGCTCGCCGCCGCCGCCCCCGCCGCAGGAGAAGGCTCAAGATACGGCCGCCCACAAGGACGACGACCAGCCCAAAAAGCGAGCGACGAAACAGAAGGGCCAGCAGCAGCAGCAGCAGCAGCAGCAGCAGCGCAGGGTCCACGCGTCGGCGCAAGACCGCGTTAGCAGAAGCAGCAGCAGCAGCAGCAGCAGTAGCAACGCGGAGAGTAGAACCGCTGGCGCCGCTGCTGGCGCTTCTTCAGCTTCGGCCGCTCCTGCCGACGAGGTGGCTGGCTCTGCGGACACAGCCAGTAAGGCCAGCAACAACCTAGGGGTCGACGCCGGCGGTGCCGACCGCGCCGTGGCAGTACCCGCGGATAGCGCGTCAGGATCGTCGTTGGCGGCGGCGGCGGCGGCGGCATCATCGCCCGCCGGGTCGTCACGACCACCTTCCTCATCGTCGGGAGTGAAAAGGTCGAGGCTGGAGATGGAGGCCGGGGCGGCTGCGAAGGCCGGGGCCGCCGCCGCCAGTGCCGCCGGCGGAGGAGGGAAGGTGGAAGCTCGCGGGGGCGTCAGACACGGCCACGGTGGTCCCAACTCTGCTCCTGGAGGGGGCAGCGGCAGGGCTAAGAGAAGCGATAGCGACGTGGGAGCGGATATTCCCCGGCTGCAGCAGGATGACGTGGAGGAGGATGCGCCATGGTTGAATATCCCCCGGCACGAACGCGATGGCAGCGGTGGCGGTAGCGGCGATATTTCCTCGTGGACGGCCCGTTGGCGCGAGATGTACGGGATCGGCAAGGCAACCGACGAGCCGTCGTCGTCGCTGGACAAGGTGGTGGGCGTCCCGCGGCAGGCCAGGGCGAGGATCGTGCACATCCTGTACGATCACGATTCGTTGGTCAGGGAGGTGGAGGTGAGGAGCGTGTCATGGAGCAAGCGGCGAGGCCCCTGAGTTCTGGTGTCGTTGTTGTTGTTGTTGTGTTGGTGGCGGTTCTAGGCGCAGGCGTAGATTCCTGCCAGAATGACAGCTAGGTAAAGAAGCACGCAGACACGAAGTTCTGGGACATGCGACAAACAGACGGGGGTTGGAACGGCGGGTCTACGGTCTGATAGAGGGACTACTTCAGTCGTCTCTTTTTTTCTCCAAGTCCGTGTCGTCCGTTTCGTTTCGTTGCCCTGCCCCGAAAGAAGGAATTATCTCCTTGTCTCCCCCTTCTCTCTGCCTTACCACCGCAATCTCTTGCTTCTTCTGTCTCTGTCTGTCTGTCTGTCTCTCTCTCTCTCTCTCTCTCTCGCTCTCTCGCTCTCTCGCTCTCTCTGTCGCTCTCTCGCTTCCTCTCTCTCCTTGATGTCGGCGGTGTTTCCGGTTGTGCCACGGTTGCCGTCCAGGAGAGCTTCGGGATAGAAATTATCCCTGTCCCACGTACGCTAGAGCAGGCGAAGCTGCCCCGAATACGCCGGGTGAGGATGGGTGCATACGACGGGGTCCCATTGAACAGACTTTTCGGTGTTGTCTTGTTTTCGGAGAGGACATGACTGAAAATTGACGTGGTTTGAACGACAAGTAGAGGCCCGGTCGATTAACATTTCACCCCTTTCTGTCGACTTGTGTAGTCTGGTCGCTTCGCGAACATGCAGGTGAAGATGTGGTTGTCGTTGTTGTTGTTGTCATCGTATTTGCTGTTGCTGCTGTTGCTGCTGCTGCTGCTGCTGCTGCTGCTGCTGTGCTGTTGTTGTTGTTGATGCGCTACTGCTGTTGTGGCTGCTGCGGCCGCTGCTGCCGCTGCCGCTGCTTCTACGGCCGAGCCCATCTTTGTACATTCGGACCCTTCCTTTTCTCATGCACGCCATGAACATCTACAACTTTTCCAATACCAAATCATACCCGAAACCCAACACAGAGATTGGCGGCAACGGCAACCGTGGGCTCGTCGCCCGCGGCCTGCTCAACACGCGAGGTCGCCAAGAACGGGCAAGCAGCACCAGCAACAGCAGCAACAGCACCGGCAGCGAAAGCAGGGACGGATAGGGTTGAGGAGCTAGGCAGCGGCGACGGCGGTGGTGGTGGTGAAAAGCTTGGAGGTGGTAGCGGCGGTGGGCCCGTTGCGGTCGACGCGGAGGATGGCGTAGAGGCCAACAACGCGGACGTGGAAGCTTCCGGCGAAGAGGCCGGCGGCGGCGGGGGCGGCGGCGGCAGCAGCACTGCCGGCAGCGACGATAGCAGCATAGCCGTGTTGTCTTCGTCTAGTGCCCCCGAGGCGATAGCGGCTGCACCGGGGGAATCAGATGCATCGGACCAAGCAGAGGGGGGCTGCGACGGCCTGGCCGACGAGGAGTCCCGGGGCGAGGAGCTCATGTGCGCCGTTACGTCATTCGGGCAGGACGGGCAGTTTCGGATCGTGCGCGCGAGCCGGGCGCTTTGCGACCGCACCCGCGCCTCCGCCCGCCGCCGCCGCGCCGCGACCACCACCCAACCCGAGCAAGCCAAAGATCTGGAGCGAGCCCTGCCGCTGCAGCAGCAGCAGCAGCAGCAGCAGCAGCAGCAGCAGCAGGGAGAAGAGACTTCGGAGGACGCCGACTACTTGCGGGGCCGCGAGCTGGGCCTCGCGGTTCGCTTCTGGGGTCGGAGCGGCGGCAGGCGGAGGAGAAGGCTCCGGACCGTGCGCTTCGCCGAGGAGGGAGGGGGAGGGGGAGGCAGCGAAGGCGGGAGCGACACGGCTACCCTCGAGGAACGGGTGGCAGAAGCCAAGTCGGAGGCGTCGGCGGCGGCGGCGGCCGTGTCGGTCGGAACCAGCGGTGGCGGCGGCGGCGGCGGCGATGGCGGCGGGGGCGGGTGTGCACGGCGAAGCACGGGGGTCGGGAGGGATGAGCCTGCTGAACGCGGGCGGGGGGACGTGGTGGCTATGGCGGGGTCGGAAAGGAGCGTTGTCGGCGGCGGTGTGTTGCTGGGCTCTCCGTCCTCCGCCCAAGAAGACGAGGAGATGCAGCGAGAGCTTTTCCGTAAAGTTGCACAGGTTAGTGATGCGACGCGATGCGTCACGCGGTGCGTTGAGATAAGATAAAAATTGCACAGGTAGTGCGATGAGATGAGATGGCACACGACCCGATGTATTTTTCGCTCGTTTGGTGCTAGATTTTCGGTAGGCGTCTGGATGCACTTCTGCGCTTGTGTCTGCGTGCATGTTGTCTGTAGTTCTTCATAGCCTCCCAGTCTCCCCCTCTCGTATTTTCACCTTCCGAGCTAGCCACCATCTCCGTGCTCCGCTCTCCCACGTGGCAAGGCGTCCCTTTTCTTATGACCTGCGACTCGCCGTCTCAACAGCCTGCCCGTCCAGGCCTTGTAGGGATGCAAAAGGGGCTGTGGCATCAATATCACTACCATTTTTGATATTCACACGTAGGAGCCCCCCCCTCCCCTCGCCACGGCCCTCCAAGCAGGCCACGGAGCAGGGCATCCCTTCTTGGGTCCCGGTGGGCGTCGTGGCCGTTGACGGGACGGAGACGCGCGCCTACGCCGCGGTGTACCCGCTCACGTCCACGTCGTCATCGTTCTCACCTCTCGCCCCCGCTAGGGCTGTTGGTGGCAATGCTAGCAGTGGTAGGGGTGGTGGTGGTCATGCCGTAGGTGATGGCGCTGCTGGTGACAGCGCTGCTGCTGGCGACGATGGGGGCAAGATTGGGAGTGGGGCTGGGGGACGAGGTCCGGATGCGCTAACGGAGGAGGGGCAAGCGGGGGGGGGGCGCAAGGGTGGCGACGACAGCAGTAGTGATCGAGAAGGCATGCGAATACACCACGCCTTGTGGGAGTTCCACTGCATCGACAGGAGCACCTGCGTGAGTTGTTATGTGTCTTCATGAAAAACTGTGGCGTGTGTAATCCTTTGCTTCACACTTGTATCGGCGTAACTTGGATGTGTTGTTTGCATTTCTCGTCTTGTGTGGGAGGTCTGCTGCACGGTTTCGCAAGCGTTGCTTGGTATCTCCCTCAACCCTCGTGCAATATTCTTGCTGAGCATATTGGGCGGGAGTTGCGCGTTTTCCTTTCCATTGTTCGTTGCCCAACCCCCCTTACTTCCCCACGTGCTGCCGACATGTGTATTTCACTCTCACAGTAGCTCTTGTTCGACCGACTTGCTGCTGTCAGACACGCAACTCATGGTGGAGTTTTTATCCCGCTGCGTCCGTTCATTGGTGCAGTGTTTCGCGCGGTGGATGCTAGCTAAGCAATCACGCGCGCGCACACACATGACGCCCCTTCACCGGGTCCCAGATCATGACCTCTAGACTCATCTTCTGTTTTCAAGCATACTGAGACTGTTGAGCCGGTTAGGCGCGATCGATCCTAAACACATTCGTACAACACATGCACGCACTGGCGCACGAACAGCTGAGCGTAGCGCTCCTGGTGGAGAAGCTGATGGCGTTCATGCTGCTGAGGATCAAGGAGGCTTTGCTGGACCCGACTTGCGCGGACAGCTTCGTTCTCAACGACTTGGCGCTCCTTCTCAACCAAAGCAGCAGCAGCAGCAGCAGCAGCTCCAGGAGATCGAAAGAAGGTGGCGACAAAGACGGCGACAACGACCAGGTGAAGACAAGACAGCGTTGTGAAGGTTTGTCAACACGTGAGTTGGGTGGTGTGCGTAGACAGACGTGCACACCAGCAACTGTGACATGCGGTTGTGCGTCCCTGGAGTGATGCGCGGCTGTGTAGAAGAAAATGGCGTCCGTGGAAGACCTTAGGGGTCTTCGTATGTGTACCTTTAATGTATGATCCAGGTAGCGCCCGCACTTGAGAAACTTGAGAACCTGACAGAACTTGAGAGAACTTCAGAGAACTTGACAGTTACAAAACCCTTGAGAACTTCACAGTTGGAAACTTGAGAACTTGATCGTTAGACACTTATGAACTTGACTGTCGAAAACTTGAGCAATTGGAGCCCCTTCTGTGAGCCCGGTGAAGCACGCCTGCACTAAAACCTATGATATATTACAGCCATTTGTAGCCCACCAGAGAAACGAGAGGTTTTTCAAGGTCGGGCGCTATCTGTGTTTTGCTTCGCTCATTGTGTGAACGACGCGTGGACACGCAGGATTGGATCGATTGAAACGCGTATGCACGGGACTGGTGCGCTTCATTCTCCGCGGGTGTGTTTGTCGTGACGATCGAATCTAAGCGTATAAGCGGCACACCTATAAAACCCGAAACTGGTCTGTTGTCAAAGAACAGCGGGTCGGCGAAGGTCTTCTGTTGTCGCCACAAATACTGGGTTTGTCACTCAGGAAGAAGATTCGTTGGGTACGAACGCTTCTATTTTTTCGTACGTCATTGTCTACGGCGGCCCACAAGAGAAACTGTTAACGTCGAGGGTAAGCAGCCACACAAGAGAAACAATCTTTCCACGGTAGCCGCAGGGTTCAAGAGCCAAGCTTGTTTGCTTGACACTCCGTCTCTCTCTCCCTTGCTCTTTCTCTAAATTTGTATGGTTCTCAACTCCGGGCCGTGTTCGCGCTGTCTTTTCTTCATCTCTGACAATCGTCAGGACGGCGAGCACGAGCCGGGGGCTGTACCCAGCGGCGCGACCAAGGGCAAGGCCAAGGGTAACGGTAGCCGCGACGACAACGGCAACGGTAACGGTAACGGCAACGGCAACGGCGAAGGAGCAGACAAAAACAGGAACCGTACCGGAGCCAACGGCAGCGGCAGCGGCAGCGGCAGCAGCAGCAGCAGCGGTGACAGCGGCGGCGGCATCAGGGGCAGCCTAGGAAATGCCCGCGACCGGATGCGAGCGGTGTCGTCCATGGAGAAGTTCTGGCGCGTGTACGCGTCCGTGTCGCACAGAGAGCTCCAGTTCCAGAGCGGCGCGATGCGCAACAAGGTACGTGTGAGTGAGCCTGTCCCCTTTTCGTACTACCCTACAGCAGCTCGAGGGTTGCTTTCGCACGGGGATACCTCTCGTTGATTATGTACAGTCGTGGCTAGGGTACCTTATAAGAGGGGGCTCCGATGCTTGAGGTTCGAAATCGGCTGTCACGGAGTCGACCCTCTATTGTAGTTGAGTACTCTCTATTCCAGGTATGAGAGGGGGCTCCGATTAAGAGGGTCGAGGGCCTTTGACAACATTCTCTTGTATCGGAGACACGACTGTATGTATGCACAAGTGATCCTTGCTGCAACGGGAGTATATGCAAGGTGAAAATAAAGTAGGCATCAGGACCAACCCACAGCTGACTGCCAGCTGCCGTGTGACGCTTCCTAAAGCTCACACGGCCAGACGTTGTTGTTGACATTTAACAGCCCAGCAACCCTCAACGAACAAAAATAAGTTTCATGTCTGTATCGCTGCCGAGGCACCATTGTCGCCGACCTTTGCCGCGGCTTGGTGGCGTGTATTTTCAAGGAACGTGTAACATAAGTGTTGGGTGAGTCTCAAGTTCTTACGGTCTTGGGCCAATGGTCACAAAGAAGGTGGTCACAAGAAGAACCGAAAGAAAAGGCAGGTTGGGCGGGAACACCGGACACCGCAAGAGGCCTCACCAAATCCAACGTACATCAAATGATGCACTGTGAGAAGAATACCTTTTGTTTTGTCCGTTACCCTATCGAAAGATTCAAACTTGGCACAATTTATGGGACTGAATCGGGTAAACCCGTTTATTTGGAAGAAAGTGCGCATAGTGATCGCTTGTCTCTTTCTCTCCCGAAGCCTCTAGAGAACGCGTAGAGACAGCATCATTTGAAACCATCCCAACCACCCCAAACTCAGCACTCGGTGCTGGGATCATTTGCGGGATATTCCCCCCACAGTGCTGTGAGAGCGCTCAGCACCGGCGGGGGGTTACCCACAGGCGAGGGCCTCCGCCCACAGTTGCAGACCTAACCAAACCCAATGCTTACATCAAAGATCCACTCCGAGGAATACCTCGTACGAAGTATTTTTTTTCCAATACAGAACGGGCCCAGAGGTAAGAAGCGTTAAAATCGGGCCGGGGCCCAGGTTCTTTTTCGTCGCCACTGTCGAGCACAGGTCGTTGAATGCCAGTAGTAGAGTTTTGTTTGTGAAGGGTCCACCGCTGAGGTGTATTTCTTCGACCTGACGCGCGTTTCTGTTACCTGTTTTCTTATTTCTCGCGAAAATGTTAGCCTCTGTTTCTCAGCGAAATATTTCTTAACTGTGGGCCCGTCCTGTACCAGTTTCGTTTCAGGGCACGCATACCTTTTTTGGGTAAGTTAGCTTGTAACCGCGGGAATCGACCGCGTCAAGTGTTCGACTAGTACGGATGGAAGAAGGAACCGGGTAGAGTGAACGGAACGGTTTTCAATGTGAAGACGACGACGACAACAACCACAACAATGCCTTGCCAAGGCGCCTACCGAGGCCACCGTGACGGTGTGCCAGAGGAAGCTTCCGTCCGCAATGATGAAGTAAACCCCCCCCGTCTATTTTTTTGGTTCGTTTGACGCACCGCGCGTGCCAGCTCGCATCGTGCCTCAACGATGGGTGCACGTCCAAGGGATACTTAACTAGGCAACCCCCATGATGCCTAGCGGCGTCGATGGTCATTACATAAGCAAACTGTAACAAACTAGCAAAGGAGATGATGCAGCAAGAATGCTGCTTGGTGGTGTTGAGTCTTTCCTTGCACTTCAGAAGCAGGACAAGAGAGTCGTCCAGCTCCTGCGCGCCATTGTTTTTAAGTAGCCACTGTTTTTGAGCAGGGGCGAGAAGGTACCCGTACCGGATGTTGGCCTACGAGGATGCCTGCCGGAGTCCCTAGCTTCTCCGAGTGCCAATGTAATCGGAACGTTTTTCAGTTACCTCGCGCTTCGTCAGGCATCTCAGGCACCAAGCACCTTCCGAGGCAACCCTTCATGGAAAGGGCCCCTCAGGCAACACCTCAGGCACGCCTGATCGGTCAGGGCCTTACTTCTCGTCCGCCCTTCTCTTTTTTGACTCGCCTTCGAGAAGGCCCGCTGCAGGCCCTAGACGTGCTAAAGTTCGTCTTCGGCGTACCAGGCTTTGCCTTCTTTAGGTTGTCGAGCTGCTGTGCGGTGCACCCAGAACCGCTGTGTCCTTGTAGCTAGACACAACGATCCTCGTGGCGCTTACCGCACAACAGCCCGACACCCTAAAGAACGCCTGGTACGCCTAAGACGTACTTACTGCACGTCTAGGGCCTGCAGCGGGCGTTCGCGAAGGTGGGTCAAATAAAGAACAGCGGACGAGAAAGAAGGCCCTGAGATCGGAGAGTTGGCGCCACTGGAATTTTCATATTTCTTGCGACAACACTAATTGAAATGTTTTTTTTTTTGTTTTGTTTCCATCATTTCAAGTCAGCGCCTATAGCGTTCGTGCCGCGTGCTCCAACCCGCGGTCACACAGAAGAGCCCGTCTCCCCGAGGCCCCTACCCACCCCTCCTGCGGTGCTTCTTTCGCGTTTTTCATTGTCCCGCTTCAACGCTGACATAATTTTCATTGGCCAAGTCAGTTAGCACCGTCGATTCTAACAACGAAGACACACGCACGCACACGCACGCTCCAACAGGAGGACGGATTCCTGGGCGTAGACAGCGCGTCGCGCTCTCGGCCTGGCGGCAGCAGAGCTCAGAAGAGAGCGGCCGGCGGCGGCGGGGGCGGCACGCCTGCGAGCAGGCCGAAGAGGACTCTCGGGAACATCGAGGAGGAGACGACGCACCTGCTTATGCACATCATCAGGTGTGTGTTTGTCCGTGCGTACGTTGCTATTATTTGAAGAGTAAGAACAATCGATCGCATCCTATATCGCCCACTTGTAGCTCGCCCACTTGTAGCCCATGAAGACAAGTGAAGTCTCGAACCGTATCGAAATGCCTGCGCAAAAATAGCAAGTTCATTACGAAAAAAATAGCAGACTCTAACGCTAACCCCAACCAGAACTTAGCAATCTTTATCCAGTATGCTTAGAAAAAACTGCGTAGACTATTGACTGGAAAATAATCACGAACGGGCTTTCTATTCTGCGGGCCCCTTTGATAGCTTCCGAGAGCCGCTCTGTGTGTGAGTTTTTCGGCCTTCTAGTCGAGTCTTACGGCCCGCGCCGGCTGATCGTGTTTGCGATTGTCAGTCTAGGCGGCCCAAAATTCAAAGAACAGCTTCCAGTCCACGGGGTTCCCAGGAAGGAGGGCGGGAGGGGGGGGGGCATCGGACAACGAATTCGTGTGTTGAGTATGGATGAGTCAGATGCACAGCTGAGGTTGTTGTTGATTCTTATTTCCCCTTGCCTGCGCTGTCGTGGTTCATGCTCTTTCTCTTGTTGCTGTTTGACTTACCTCCGCAGCAAGGTACCATCTTGCTGCATGACAACGTTTGCACCCAAGGGTTGCTTTTCCTGACCAACGCACGATCGACAACCAGCACTTGGTTTCACCACACGCGTATGATATGCACCCCGAAACGAAGCGTAAGGCTCCCCGACGGTAGAGGAACGAATTTACAGGGTCACACGCGCGAGAACCGAAGCACTACATGCACAATCCATCTGTGGAGAAAGCCTCAAACCCACCGCACTCGAGTTCTCGTTCTTCATGAAAAATGAAAAATAATCGCTTGAAAAAACTGTTCATTAAAATTCATCAAGAAATAGAAACGCTTCAAACAACAACGATGTGGGTGTTTTTTTCCAGGCGATTCTTCTGCGAGGCAAGGCGAGGAATCGTGACGCAGCTCTTGTTCCATATCCTGGAGGGGTGCGAGGACGACCTGGAGCTAGGGAAGGTGGTGCAAGATTTCTTGTGGTCCTGCTGGAACCTCCACGACAACGAGCAGGTGCAAGCAGACGCTGGCCGGGCTATTTTCTTCTCTCATGTAACAAAATCCAAAATCCATTGCAATTAGGAATGTCCTAGACTCTTGCAGGTGGATAAACATTTCAAGAACAGGGTGTGTTTTGTCATTGCGTATTTTTTAGTTTTTCAGTTGTGGGGACGTTATACTCTGAGAGTTTGTTTGTGCTGCTGCTATTAGTGCTAGTGCCCGTGCCGGTGTAGGTTCGGCATCGCCGATCGCCCTCTCCCATACCCTCTGACCTCTGACCCCTCGCATGTGCGTCGAAATTATATCCCTCACGATACACATGCTGCAGCGGTGGTGAAAATTATGTGAACAAGAAGCTTGTTTCTTGTAAAAGAAGCACGGTTTATGGGATTTTGGACGAGCAAGAACGGTTTGACGTTGGTTCTTGCGCGTGCTTGGAAGCGAGCTTCGGGTGTAGAGGACGTACAGCAGGGTGGCGTTTGGGCCAAAAACCACCGGTGCTTTTTGTTATGTGTTTCCCTTTCAAGCACTCTCGTTCGCGATCGCGCTTTTTCTCAGCTGAAGAACTCCGACCCTGAGTCACACCCAGCGCGTCCTGTTCGATTCTCCGCCAAAGTATTCACAACGCTGTCCTCGACAAGAGATATTCTGTACCATGACAACCTCTCTCAGTCAAGAGGGTAAACCGTACTGCCCGGGCGGGGCACACGCACAACACATGGAACATCTAGAAACCCCGACTGCGATCAACAAACAGCAAGCACTTTTTGTTAAGCACTTTTTTGATAAAATTCTGGCGCTTTCGTCTTTCGTGCGCGTATCAAACTGTCTGTAGTCGTCTTGCTGGGTTTGGTGTGTCAACCGTACAGGAGACAGCCTACGGACGAAGAGCACTCGGCAAGACGGCAATGTTTCCTTGTGGTTGTGCCTCCTGTTGTTGTGAAGGGGAGTGGGAGATGAGATGTGTCCGGGCGACTCATTATGTTTTTTGTCTCGTGATCGGGACTGCCTAGGTTAGCGTATCACCGATGTACTCCTACTCTCAACGCGCAAAATGCGAGGTAGCTTACATGTATTGCTGCCCCGCTCCTCCGGTGCTCATCCGACGTGCAGGTGGTGAAGCTGATGAGCGAAGCGACCAAGCTCCAAGAGGCTGGCAGCTTCGACCGCTCAAACGCGGCGGTCGACAAGGTCAGTCGGTCTAAAGAACGTCTCAAGAAAATCCAAGAAAATATCAAGAAGTGTTGGTTGTGTTGAGAAGGATGAGCGAGGAAGGCGCCTGAAAAAAACGATAAATGACTCGAATCATCACGTGCCCAGAAATTAGCGGTAGGGTCGAGGTCCCTGTTTAGTGCCGGTTGAATAGTGCCGGTTGCCGGTATAGTGCCGGTCAAATCTCGGCACACAGAACTCGCCCTGAATAGTGCTAGACCGGTACTATTCAGGGCTGCCCACTATAGTGCCGGTTCGGGCCCCACTGGACCCCACCATAGTGCCGGTTCAAGCACGCACGCACACACAACACACAAGAGACACACACAACACAGAGGACAGACACAGAGGAGAGGGTACACGTGCTGCTGCAGACCCGAACAGCTCTACGCAGAGGTGCACCATGCCATGTGCGGAAGGTGACCTGTGCCGCATACCGGACAGAACGCCACAAGCTCCTAATGACTACATCTGCCGGGGACGATGCGGCGGGCGGCTCCATGGCGAATGTGGAAGCATGTTTGACGACAGTGAGCTGAACCGCATCTGCAGTACGTGCGTAGCCAACATTGGCAAGCGCAAAGCGAGATCAGCAGAGGGTGCTGGGAAGGGTCAATCTAAACGCCCGAAAGCACAAGGGGGGAGTAAGAACGAAGCTCGCAAGCGGCTGGACGTACACCAGAAGGTCGAGATCCTGAAGCTGGTGGATGCGAAGCTCTCTCAAGGAGAGATAACAGACTGCTTGGGGTGCTCGCAACGGTTGATTCGCAAAGTGAAGGCCGAGCGGGAGAAGGTGGAGAACGAGGCTGCTGCAGCAGGCAGCGGCAGCAAGAAAAACATCCGCAGGAGATTATCCCAAGGTGCGCTACCTGGTGTCAATCTGCTGTTGTTGCTGCACTTGTTTGTTTTTTCAGAATACTTTTTTCGAGACTCATGTTTGTTCGAGGCCTTCTCCTTTTTTCGAGGTCATTTTTTTTGTGAATCTGTTCAAGCTCTTCTCTTCTCCTCCCTTGCATGAGACCCTTTTTTTCTGTTTTTTGGTGCTCCTGCGACAGAGCTGTAAAAAAAAAATCATTCGCACGCACGACTGTGCATGCCAGTATACATACATAACACGAAGCGTGCACGCTTGTCGCTTTTTCCTGCGTATTAAACAAACTCTTTTCCTTCAGGGTGTACTTGAAACAAACAAATGGGAACAAAACTCGAAAAAACAATGCAATTAGCAGCTTAACACTATGAACTACGAGGTCCAGTCTAAATGCGCCGCACAATGTTGGATGCACGTAAAAGTAATGTTCGAAGCTAATCCTTGGATTATCTTTAGTCTATCCTCTTCAAACGTGTGATACTTTTTGTTTGACGGCAGGTGGATGCCATTGCTCTTGATCTACGCGAGAAAGCCTGTAAAGCCAAGATGTCTGCCACACGCGAGGTCATTCGAAGCTTCGGCCGCTCCGCCAAGGCAACCCTACTAGCTGAGCCCACAACTGTTGCAGCAGTCAGGGCGAGGCTCCAGGAATCCAAGGCCGGCGAAAAGTGGGCCAGGAACTTCGTGAAGCGCAACAACATTCAGAACACGAGACTTCATAGCGAGGCTAGCAGCGTCAGCCGCGAGGCCATCGAGGAGGGCATGCAGGAAATGAGGGCCGTCTGCGCGAAGTACCCAGCTAGGGCTCATCTTCAACGTCGACGAGACAGGTATCCAGTGGAAGCTTATGCCTAGGCGCACATACCTTTCCACCTCGGAGAATCGGAAGACGTCGCGGGGCTCAAAGAGCATGTACTTCAAGGATCGCTTGTCTGCCATCATGTGCTGCAATGCAGATGGTACTGCAAAGGCTGACATGGCCATCATCGGGAAGGCAAAGGAACCCCGTTGCCTGACGGGCGTGACTTTCCCTCTCAAGTACTTCCAGCAAGCTAACGCGTGGTCTGGTACCGCTACGTTCCTCAAGTGGTGGCGTGAGGTCTTGCTCCCGTTCGTTCGGCGCTTCACCAACGAACCTGTGCTGCTGCTGATGGACGGCTGCTCGTCTCACGCTGATCTAGCGGATGAACGCGCGCAAGTTACCGTCAAGTTTTACCCTCCAAACTGCACCAGCGTACACCAGCCCATGGACCAGGGGATCATCGCCAAGACCAAGGTCAGCTGCAAGAAAGAGCTGCTCGATGTCAAGACATCAACCATATTGGTGGCTGAGACCCTTCGTGCCCAGACCAAAGCCCGTAAGATGAAGCGCGGGACAGCGGGGCTGGCACAAGGGCACCAACCTCACGTGCGTGACGCCGCCGAACTTCTGCAGAAAGCCTGGGCCAGTGTCACCTCCCGGGACATCGCCAGGTCAGGTTTGAACATGTGCTGTCGCTGTGTCAATTTTGAAATCATGCAGTGTGTACAAGCTTGGTGGTACGTCACGAGGTTGCACGGATAGATGTTTACGTTTTCGACTAGGTATTCCAGCACCCCCCGTTGTTGCTTCGCTATTAAAGGATGCTTTCTCGCTTGCCGATGATTTTTTGTCATATGCTGGTCTCGTCTAACATCAATTGGTCAACTCACAATCGGACTGCTGTTCCATGTTCTGCGCTACCTGGAACCAGGTGCTTTGTCAAAGCCGACACGCTGCCGGCGGAGATGTAAGCTGAACTAACCGAGCAACACGGAAAGGCCCGAGATCGGATCGCCGAGCCTGAGATGAAGGATCTCACGAGGGGTCTCAACACCTTGAGCACGCGCGTGCTAGAGGCGCCAGCTAGCTGTGCCGTCATGTCGTCCACCGCGTCCTGCCGAAACGCTTCTACCACTTCATCGTCGTCCTCAATAGTAGCCCAGTATTCAAGACGAGGAGCTGTGTGAGCTGTTGGCGGAACTTAACATTGAACCCGGAAAGGCTGCCGTGGGGGACGCGGTGAACACGCTTCAGGCTTGGGCTACAATTGAGGACGACGATGAAGTGGTAGAAGCTTTTCGGCAGGACGCGGTGGACGACATGACGGCACAGCTAGCTGGGTCGCATGTGTCTCCCGGGCCAGAGGAGGAGGACGAAGAAGAGGACGACGAAGAGGAGGGGGGTAGCGANCAATTGAGGACGACGATGAAGTGGTAGAAGCTTTTCGGCAGGACGCGGTGGACGACATGACGGCACAGCTAGCTGGGTCGCATGTGTCTCCCGGGCCAGAGGAGGAGGACGAAGAAGAGGACGACGAAGAGGAGGGGGGTAGCGACGATGAAAACGCGGGCCGCGGGCGGCGTGCCCCACCGGGTTACGCTGAACTGTCGTCACTTTGGGTACCTAGAGGCGGCAGCGGAGGAGAGTGGCAACGGAGACGCCGTGTACCACCTGTCGAAAGCGAGGATGGCGATGATCGCAGCGAATACCGCAAAGCGGGCTCGCCAGGCAGACATGCGGGAATTCATCGCGACGTAGTGAGGGCGGGGGTTACAGCTTAGGGGCTGTTTGGTTTCTTGGATGTCCCGTTCTTGCGGTCGTGTTTTATTATTTCTTGTTCTGGCTACATCGAAGGAGGGTGAGGAGGAGACAGATTTAGTTTCTTCCTTCACCAATAGGTTGTGCCAGCAGGAGCTTCGCAAAAGTGTCACCGCCAAAAATCCATGGGCTCCATGATCAGTGGTTTGCTTTCCCTGTCGAGGAGTGATGTTGAGGTTGTGCGAAATGGTGTGATCCGTTTAAGGCCAGTGCCACGGCATTCTTGCCAACAAAATATTGGACATCTATGAGGTGCATCCTTCGCGATATTCATGTCAAGGGTTTAAGTCAGGTTGTGCAGGTGTGCAGTACGTGCGCTGAAGTGGGTACAGCAACAAGGTGCAGCATGTGTGTCCCGTCCAGTTACGTTCAAAGCAAAATATGTCTGTTCGACGGGGCAGGAACCACCCCTATCGTGGCACAGCAGTCTGCCCGCGACGCCCATGCCATGATCTCACAATGTACGTTTCATGTGGTACTCTGTTGGCCCCGCAAAGCAAAGCGCTGCACTCTGAAATCACACAATTCGTCGATAGTGCCGGTCTGGCACTATTGAGGGATTTTCAGGCCCTAAATAGTGCCCCTTTGGCACTATTCAGTCACTCTGAAGAATAGTGCCGGTGCCCGGTATAGTGCCGGTGAAATTTTGCGCACACCCCGGCACTAAACAGAGACCTCTACTGTACCATTTTGGAAAACGCCGCGCCGCCGCCGCCGCTGCTGCTACCGCCGTTGCTGTAGTTCCTACCCTTGTCTTGCACGGCTGAAGTCGTTCTTGTTGTCGACGATGTGTTGACCTCCTAGGCTCGTGCCAATATTGATGCGAACGCGCTTCATGCATCAGGTATTGGAGATTGACAGCGGGCACTTCGAAGCTTTGAACTGCAGGGCTACCAACCTGCTCCTCCAGGGTGCTCTCCATGAATCCGTGGCGGGAATCCATAAGGTAAACTACTCGCTCACTGCGAAGCGATATATTTGAGGGGACACAACACACACCCCGTTCTACTTGCCAACACGAATAGAACCGATGTGAATCAGCTATTGGACAAGAGGCGGGGGGGGGTGTACTCATGGCCGTACATACCGTAGTCGATAGACCATGGACCTCGATCCCTACAAAGCCGGGACGGAGCACGCCAGGTTTTCATTGGACCAGCTTCTTACATCACCCAGCCCGAAGCGCCGTCAGGTATTCGGTACCAGGGGAAATATTCAAAACCGAGCCGCCCCCTGCCAACGTGTACCAGCGCGGATCGTCTACTAATGTTTTGGTGGTGTATTTTTTATTGCGGAGCTCCGCTTCACCTTTGCTTGGAAGAACTGACGCTGTCCACGTTGGCTCATCCGTAACCTCGTCTTCGACTCTCGCCCCATCGACGACCAGGTCTTGGAGATGGAGCCGAGGCACTTCGGGGCGTTGAGGGGGCTCGGCTTGCTCCGGATGCACCTCAAGGTGAAAGTTGGTATACCTATGGCGGCAGCTTCTGTCTGTCTGTCTGTCGGTCTGTCTGCCTGTCTCCTTGTTCATTCGGAATCGAACCACACATGTGTACATGCGAGAGGGAGTTTCGAACATTGATGTCGGGGAAAGTGAGGGCACCACGCCTGTCGCGGTGTATAACACACGTAACTATTCGTTGTTTGTACTCACGGTGACGCGGGAGGGAGAAATTGGCATACTTAATTACATATTGCGTACATGTCGGTAAAACCGTCAACCAGTGGTGCTTTTTTTTCCCTCTCGAGACCGAATGGTATTCTGGTCCTACCCGGCCAAGACAGCCCCTTGTTCACATTGCGCCAAACCATTTGAGTTCTCTGTTCGTGCGGAACGATACTTATGTGGATGTTACCACACGCCGCTTGAGCGTCGCAAAACGATACCGTAGCCTGTGGTCCTTGATCTTGAGCGCATCTATTGTTTCTTTGTCTGAGAGCTCTCTCTCGTATTGGGTGCATTTTGAGACAATCATGGTACCCCGTAATCGTGTTCTGCGATGTTGATGAGGGGGTGTGCGGCGTCGCGTTCAGAACCTATCTCTGTACAGGTGACACGTATTAACACCGTGGTGAGACCTTCATGTCGAAAAGTTGGAATGTTTAGCATCGCTATGTTTTGAGTAGTGTTAATGTGGTGAGCTCGCGCGTGTGCCTGCTTATCTCGCACCCGAACCCACGCCACCAGTTTGCCTCTGTGACGACATTCTGCTTACATCAATCTGTACTTGCGCATTTGGCAATCAGGACTATTCGGGGGCTCTGGGGGCTTTCGAGTTGACGGCAAAGATCAACCCCATGCTTCTGCCAGGGCTGCGGGACAACATGGCGGTTTGCCAGGCGGCGGCGAATGCCATGCTTTCGTGATGGGATGGCTTTGCCGCTCACAAATGTTCGATGCGTGGTTCGAGAAGCCGTTCGGTCGTGGGAGTAGGCCATCCCTCGACGCCTTGTCGAGGTGGCGCTGGTCTGCTCTCAACGCCGTCTTCGCTTCACGAACGGGCGCGCAATCGTGGCAAGACATTGAACCCTTCCGGAGGGACGGTAATTTATTTTTTTCTGTTGTTGTTGCCGTCGTCGACCTCGGCGCTGTCCTGTCGTGCCTAGACTATTGCACGACCCATGGGGTGTGAAATCACCGGCAGAAAATCGAGGGGAGGGGCTTCGGGCGTCATGTCCTCGACAGTCATCGTCAAATGCCGGTAGTCTAGACAGTGAAAGCAGGTGTCCTTAACCTTGCTCTGAGTTCCTGTTCACTACCGAATATTTTTAGAAATGAGGGGGGGGGGGTAGCGGCAGCGTTACGAGACACCCGTTTCATTGAAAAGTTGGTGGTACTTGTGGCGCTCGACAGCGGCACCATGGGCGCTTCCCCGACCAGGGAGATATTTTCGAGACCCAAGGCAAACGGGTTGTTTTCGACGCAGCTCTTGCACGACACTTCCGTCCACCGTGTACTCTGTATTTGCATCACAAACACGTCCTTCATTCGTTTTGGCCGATGATGTTGTGTGCAGCGGTGTTTCACTGCTGCAACCGGGAGTTTTGGGTACAGCCAGTATTTTTGTGTGATGGGTGGTGGGTGTCTTGTTTACTTGAGCGTCGGCAGATTTTTCGCGTGCTGTGTTGTATTTTTGTGAGCTGACGTTTATCTCTTGTGGCTTATCGAGTGAAACAAGGACTGTTTTCTTGTGTCCTTTGGTCTTGATCCTCGTCAACTACCACTGCGCGGTCGATTTGCCGGGAGGTATATGTGTATGGATTGGGGTCGAGGGGTATTTTTCGTTTTTAGTCGTTCCTCCTTCCGTCCTGCCGTTTTATGGCGAATTCTGCGCGATGCCGTTCGTCGCGACCACACATCCACGTTGAGTATCCTTTTTGGGCTTTGTTCAGAAAATCTGGGGAGATATGAAAGTATTCTAGTCCGTTTGTTGGTGAGACGCGGGACTACCTAACACGTATAGAGATAGACAGAGAGAGATGAAAAAGGTGCCCGGCGCTCAGGCCCCACGAAGGGTTGGCATGCATGTATCGTCGTTTTTCTTGAGGCCGTCTGCTTAGAACAAGAGTGCACGTGGTACTGTATGTAGTGCACGTGGTACTGTATGTATGTCGCCTATGTACGATAAGAGTCACCTCGCGCTGGCTGGATGGAGATAAGCGCCTCAAATTGCCCTCGTCTACTGTGCGTTGTGGGCCATGTTATTATTTACCACTTTTTAATATGGTTTCCACATGTGCTTTTCCTGGTCGTGGCCCGAAAAAAGTAACACGACGGCGCGTTCGCTGATGACATCCATTCGTCCGCGCGGGGCGCGGGGAGGGGCGTGAATCACGACTGCCTTTTTTCGTAAGTCAGGAAACATTTCGTTGACCCGAAGGAAACCAAGAAGGCGTTTCCTCTGGAGGGTCGATTGAGGGAAAGAGCGAGGAATATTGCTTGCGCATGTTGGTGCGAAAAAAACGTAGCTCTTATCTGGTAAAAAAATGTATAATCACAACCACTTGCTTCTCTTCCGGCGAGGGCTATCTATCTCAATCGATTTTCTTGCATTCAGCTCCTGACCCAGCTCCTGACCGGTCCATGACCTTGCTCGAAAATATCAGTTGCCTTACTTTACTCATTGGATGAATGTTGCTGTTATAGCAGTACCACGTGAACCTGACTGACCAAGGTTGAACAGAGGGTACACAAAACATTTGGCAGTTTGGGGTGTTCTTTCACATTTGTACCCGCTTCCGTAATGCTCTATCCTATGCAGTCGCTGGATTCGATCGTCTCAAGGGTTTCCTCAGGAGGCCGCGACATGAGATTCTCTCGCCACGCCGTCTCGAACGCCCGGAAAATTCGCCTGACCGACAATGGCAAGCATCGGCAGCACACAGCAACGACTTTAGTAGCAGCCAGCGTGCGTCAATGTATCCTGCTGAACGATTAAAAGACATTTGTCTCCGAGTGCTATTAAAACTTTGTATTCCTCGGGAGCATGCATGTAATAGCCAAGATATTTTGTCGAGTCTCTTGTGTGCCTGATACCGTTTTTTACGTTCGCCCGATTGTGTCAGAAGCATCGAATTTGGTTCCTTCCCAGTCCGATTGGCCCGCCACGAGCAGGACGTAAACAAGAAAGTCGCTATGTTTTGAAACGAGGGCAGGATCCGTCCCCGTGTAAAGTTCGTTTGACCAGTCTTAAAGATTTTGCTAGAGTTTTCGACAAGGGGAGCTTGTTCGCTATGTTTCCGGGTCCTTCACGCCTTCCGGGTCCTTCACCACAACACAAATGTAGAGTACCACCGTTTCCTTGGGCTTGAGTTCATCACGGGGGGGGTCTGTCTCACATTCGCCATTGAGCACGGTGGTGTATCCCTTCCGCGTTCTATCTCACCTCAGCCGCACTCGTCGTCCCTGCCTTATCGCGTCCTGGGCCCTCGCCGTCGGCCCCACTCCTCCGTAGGCCCTCAGGAGAGTGGCCTCTGCGACCAGCATCCTGCGGCTAATCCATAGCTTGGACACGTCGAGCACGCTCCTGGGCGAGGGAGTTGGGTCGGCAATACGAACGACTGCTGGTACTACGTCCACCAAAGGGATGGTTATGTTTCCCCGCAAGCTTCGTTTGCCGTACATGCATACATGTGGTACAGTGTGTAGGAGGATACTTTTGGGTAGGAAGAGGTGACAAATGGAAGTAGTGACAAATGGAAGAGGTGACAAATCGGGTGACACATAACACCCAGGCACAGCCGCATATACGGAGTAACAGGCAAGACGACGGGGATCCAGACACAGCAGTTTGGTTCTAAACGCCAAGTTACGAATCTGTCTTGGTTCGGAGTGAGATGCGTTGCCTTCTAGCTCAAACGCTAAAGCTTAAACAAACCTGGATGCACCGTACCTCTGCTGCCCATATACTATTCATGCGGAATACCTATTCCCTCGTTCCTGCCGTTCGACTTTGTTCCGCTTGCTCGCCATCGGTTTCTAATTTCTCACCGCGATGTATCGGCATTGATCATGAAAGCCCTGAGCTGACTTGTCCTCGCCTCCACCGCCGAGATCTCGGCCTCTGGGACGAAACCGTCGCCGCCTCTCTGGCCTACAGGTGTGCCCTGAGCCTCTCTGATAGACGCCACAACCTATCCGAGGGTTCCCGGCGCGGTTTAGTTCGACGTACGTGTAGAGGGATTCGATTTGTATACGAGTCACGTGTCAAATGCGAATACCGGCGGGAGCCGCAAGTGGAGATGAGGAAATCGAAAATCTTGCGCTCGCGCGAATCACATCGGAGCAGGGTATCAACAAGTTAGTGGCGGGGAGGTGGGAGGGGG